CGAACGGCAAGGCCGCGGGGCGCGCGCCAATCAAGGGGGCGGGGTGGCAACGCACGGGGACAGCGCCAGCGCCGCGCGGAGATCCCCGGCGAACCCCGGGACGGGACGGCGCGTTGCATCATCGTGCGCGCCTTCGCGCAATGCGTTCGGCGTCGCCCACCCCCCACCACCCATCCTTGTTTCTTATTACTATATACCCCCACATACCTCGTATTCCGGCCGATAGCGACCCAGTTCGGGACCTCCAATCCGGGCTGTAAAAAATCAATACAAAGTGGCCGTTGTTCTTCTCAACATCGTCTTTCTTGCCGTGGCAGGAATGGGACGCGGTGCACATCGCGCGCGGCAGTCAATCTGGGCCCGCCCACCCTGACTGTAAAAAAACATTACAAAGTCTACGCTTGTTCCTCTCAGCATGGCCTGCTTTGCCGCCGACGGTGCGAAATATGTGGCAGGAACGGGACGCGGCGCACATCGCGCGCGGACGTCCATGCGGGCTACGGGCCCTCCAATCCGGACTAGTGACACCAGTACCATTGGTACGACTACTACTAATACTACTACTACTACTACTACTACTACTACTACTACTACTACCACTACTACTACTACTACTACTACTACTACTACTACTACTACTACTACTACTACTACTACTACTACTACTACTACTCCTGCTACTACTTGTTCTGCAAAGTGTACTACCAATGGCATTACTACTAGTCTAGCAGTAGTACAAGTCTTACTAGTACTTCTACTTCCATAGTGCTACTACTCTGTACTACTACTCGTACGAGTACGTGTACTACCTGTAGTACTTCTGCATATACGACTCGTACTATTACTCGTACTACTAGTACTACTACCTATTCGTATCCCCACTCTACTAGTACTGCTACTACTACTACTACTACTACTGCTACTACTACTACTACGACTACTACTACTACTACTACTTCTTTTTTTGACGCTACTACTACTACTACTACTACTACTACTACTACTACTACTACTACTACTACTACTACTACTAAGACTACGACTACGACTACGACTACGGACTACGAACTACGACTACGACTACTACTATGCTACTACTACTACTACTACTACTACGTACTACTACTACTACTACTACTACTACTACTACTACTACTACTACTACTACTACTACTACGATACTACTACTACTACTACTACTACGACTACTACTACTACTACTACTACTACTACTACTACTACTACTACTACTACTACTACTACTACTACTACTACGACTACTACTACTACTACTACTACTACTACTACTACTACTACTACTACTACTACTACTACTACTACTACTACTACTACTACTACGACTACTACCCCTACTTCTACTACCACCACTACCACTACCACTATTACGACCACTACTAGTTCTACGACTACAACTACTACAACTACTACAGCAACTACTACTACTACTACTACTACTACTACTACTACTACTACTACTACTACTACTACCACTACGCGCCAGCAACCAGTTGCGCCAGCATTGTTTCTTATGGTGTGCGAGGGCGGAACGTGTCCGTTGTTCGTTTCAACATGGCCAGTCTTGTCGTCGACGATGCGAAATGCGTGGCGGGAATGGGACGCGGCGCACATCCCGCGCGGACGTCAATGCGGTGTCCTGGGGCATCCTCCACCCGCACTTAAATGCCCGCGCAGCCCCCAGTTGTGCCATCACTGTTTCTTATGTTGCGGGAGGGCGGGTGGGGATGGGCACGCCATGCTTGACTCGCTCGAGCTGGCTAGCTTGACCCACCCCCCACCCCCGCCCACCCCCACCCCGCCGCCATCCCCCCCGCCTTGATCAGCCCCCTCATCCTCGGCGCCATCACCGTCTTCATCATCGCTCTTTCCTCCTGTTCATCGGCATCGCCACTGTCGCCAGCACGAACATCATCATCATCAGCAGCATCGTCGTCGTCATGGCCATCATCCTAGTCATCCTTGTCGTCGCCGTCGCCCGCATGATCGCCGTCGTCGTCGTCGTCGCCATCGTCGCCACCGTCATCGACGCCGCCCCACATCGACGTCATCATCATCACCAGCCCCCCCTTGACCCTCGCCACCGCGCGCCTGCGAGAATACCGACGTGGTCAGCGGCCTGTGCTCACAGCAAGGGAAGTTGTGGAGGGTGATGAGGAAGTCGCCAATGCCCAAGCCGTCGCAAGCCACCATCTCCTCCGAGTTCGCCCGCATGAAACGGCCCTCGGGCATCAGCTCGCGATTCTGGGCGATCTCCACGTGGCCCGCCAAGTCGAGCTTGCCGTCGGTGACCTCAACCAACGCTGGGCGCCCCCCGACGGGCTCGTCGTTGAGAAGGCTGGCGGACGCGTCAACCCTCACCGCGACGGTGAATGCCTGCGGACGCCGGCAGCGCATGCAAAGCCGAGAAGTAGGAAAGTCGCTGCCAGGTCTGACGGAACAAGAAATGGCACGGCGCTGGCGGGGAAGGGGGACGCAGGACCACGGGGGGGGGGGGCGGTCGGGGGGGCGACGAGGCCGAGGGCGCGAAGGAGCGTAAAAGACAGCGGGGGGGACGCTCGGAAGCCGATCGATATCGGCACGCCGACGGGCGGCGACGCCACGACGGGCAGCGGTTACAGGCGAGGGCGGGGAGCGGAAGCTGGGGCACGCCCTCGGAGAGAGGCAATGACGAAGCCGTGGGAAACCCAGGGTGCCTTCGGGGGCCGCCCGGCCACGCCGTGGAACAACGCGCCGAAAGCATCGCGGGAGACATCATCCACCACGCGGCCTTCGTTCTGGGACTGGGCGAAAACGGACCTCATTGAGACGACGAGGAGCACCCTCACGCCCATCGACGGAAGTCCGAACAGCCCGTTTAGGCGTAGGTGGTCTAAGGCAGCTTATCCTTCAAAACGCAATTCTTCCCATCCGGTGGGGAAATTACCCCTTCCCCTCCAGCCCCACCACATGGTCCTGGACGGTGGGTTTCGCGCAGCGACGGGGCGTCCAGGACCGCCCAAGACGGCCCCAAGCGGACCTCAGAGAGCCCGAGATGACCTTCAAGATGGCCCAAGATAGCCCAAGATGTTTCAAGAGGCACCCGACATGCTCGGGAAGGCTCCAAGCCGCCCCGACGTGGCCCCCAGATGGCCGACGAGCCCCCCATGGGGCCCCCGAAAAAGCAAACCCCGTCCTAAACCCAAAAGGGGCTCGCTTTGCTTTTCGACCTTGCCCTTTCGCACCCGATTGCCATCCGACGACTCGAGATGGCTCCGAGATGGTCCCTGGGGGACCAAAGATGCCCGAGAGAGCCCCAGGGCGGCCCCGAGAGCGCCCAAGGGCGCCCCTAGGCCGCCCCAAGAGCGCCCCAATGGGCGCCTGTGGGAGCTCGAGAGGGGCGATGCAAATTAAGGACACACACACACACACACACACACACACACACACACACACACACACACACACACACACACACACGCTCGACCTCGTTCAGCACAGCTCCAAGAGCGCCCCTGGGGCGCCCAAAGAGCGCCCGACTGGGGGCCCCAAAAAGCGCCCAGACGGCCCCGAGGGGCGCCCAGGGCCGCCCACGTTGGGGCCCGAGGAGATCCCCAAGAGGCCTCAAGAGGATCACCGAGGCACCCGAAACGCTCCAATGCGCCCCTGGGCCAGCCAAGGCGATGCCCTGACACCCCGAGGAAGCATCCCAGCCTTTCGCCCTTTCGCCCGCCCTCCTCCACAATTACTCGATACGAATACTACTCTCCCTCTTCCCCTGATGACGGAATGGGAGTAGCCGACCCCCCCCCCGCGTACTGTTTTTTACACACAGGTTTCCCCGGAGCTGGGTTTTCGCCTGCATTTTTTCCAAAATGCTGCTCTCGCTGAGGCGCCGGCCTCATTTTCGGGCCCCGCTCGTTCCGAATCGTGCTCCCGCTGCAGCGTGGGTCCCATTTTCGGATCGGTGTTCTGCCTCCGTCGTTCAGGATGGCGTTCTCGCCCCAGCGCGGGCTTCTTTCTCGCGCGCCCATCCGCCCGCCACCGCCGCACCGCGCCCCGCCCCGCCCACCGCCACGCGCGCGCGCGCGCACGCGCGCCGCCACCACCACCCCACTACCCCACCCACCACCACCACGCTACACCGCGTCACACCACATCACACGCGCGCGCACAGACACACACGCACGCACACACACACGCACGCACGCACGCACGCACGCACGCACACACACACACACACACACACACACAACACACACACACACACACACACACACACACACACACACACCACCACCACCACCACCACCGCCACCACCACCACCACCGCCATCACGCACGCACGCACCTGGCCCACCACCAAACCACCAAGACGCCACACCACATCACACCACAGCACACGCGCACACACGCACACACAACACACACCACCACCACCACACCACCACCACCACCACCACCACCACCACCACCACCACCACCACCACCACAACCACCACAACCACAACCACAACCACAACCATAACCACAACAACGCACACACGCACGCACGCACGCGCACCACCACCCACTACGCACGCGCGCGCGGAGCCACAGGTCCGCTACGACACGCGTCCGCGGAAAGAGAAAATCAGCGCCATAGCAAGGGATGGGAGGGAGGGGTAGGACGTCAGATATGTCGCGAGCGCACATAGCTTGCCCCCCCCCTGCCCAACCTCCTCCTTCTTTCTCCCCCTCAGCCCACCCATCGCCCTTCTCACCCTTCACCCCTTTCATCCATCCATTGCCCCCCTGCTGTTTACTCCGAACGGTTAGGCAACCCCCCGACTTGATCCTTCTACTGCCTGGTCAGCGCAACGCCCCTGGGCGTCGTTTCTAGATGGGCGGGCGGGGTGAGCGCAGCGTCGAAAAAATTGAAAACACTTCTGCGCAGGGGCAGGGGCGCCGCCCTGAACTGACCGAGGCTGCGATGGCCGCCACGCCCACTCGCCGAGGCCGTACTTGGCCCCGGTCGCATCCATGCTGCTGATCCACGTGTCCCACCCCAGACCGCTGCCCATACCCCCTGGGAGTTTCAAGGCCCCCATCAGACCAGGCGCCGAAATCCACAAATCTCCCGAAGCGCTCCAGAACTCAAAGACGGCCCCAGCACACGACGCCGCCACCTTTGGGGGCCCAGCCTGAACGAGCACGACATCGCGGATGGCGTGTTTCGACTGGCAAGCCATCACTGCGCCGACGGCCCCCTCGGCGGTGGCGATGTACCAGGTGCCGCGAGGGTCGGCCTTCACTTCGACGTCGAAGAAGTCCTGCGCCCACCTGGCAGCGAAGCGCGCGGAAGAGAGACCGCGCGGGGAGACATGGGGAGGGGTGATAAAGGGCAGGTGAACGCGGGCCAGAGGGAGGGCCGCCTGCAACGAAGCTGGAGGGCGCACCTGGGGAAGGATACATACAGGTGGGCGGGGCCGAAAAGGAACGCGCGACATCAAAAGCGAGACATGGGCAGCGAGGTGCCGAGAGGCGACGCGGCCTGCGCGGGGCGCTCGACACCCAACAATGGCAGACGCGAAAACACGCAGGAAAAAACGCGCCTGCAAAGCGCTTCTGTTTTGATGGTCGGCCCGATCACGGCGAAACCCCGTCTCGTCGTTCTGGATCAACCCCCACGCCTGTCGCGGGCGGGGGGGGGGGGCAGCGCGGAGCTTCGAAGTCGCCGCTGCGGGGGCCCACCGCCGTCCCCTATCAGCCGCGCCATCCGCCCTCCGCCACCCCATACCCCCCCCCCCCCTTCCGCCTCCGCCGCCTTCCCCGCGCCCTCCGCGCACCTCCCCCCCACCCCTCCTACGCCTCCGCAAGCCCCCCCCCCAGTCCTCCGCGCGCCTCCTTCCGCCTGGCCCTTCACAAGTACTCAATATGAATACTACTCCCTGATGGCGGCTCGAAACTATTCGCCCCCCCCGCGTACTGTTTGTTACGCACAGGATTCCCCGGAGCTGGGTTTTCGCCTGCATTAGCTTCCAAAATGCTGCTCTCGCTGAGGCGCGGGCCTCATTTTCGGGCCCCGCTCGTTCCGAATCGCGTTCCCTCTGTGGAAACACGGCTGCTGAAGGTAAGCCAATGTGCGTGGTGAACATTCATATGGCCAGTTATAATGATACCTACACATTGATCGACAAGCGAATTGCATTCGCCAAAGCGCGACTCAATCGAACTTATTTCACCGTGACACGGACGACGATATCAACAAGAAACTATCCAGATTACTAACCAGGCACGCTCAGCAGAAGGAAAACGAAAAAGAAGAGAGCAAGCTGGAACACACAAACGCCTCCGCCAAGACCGTTCCGAACACGACGGGCAACACGAGAATGCCGACGATATTGCTTTCTCCATGAAGCTCGCAACGCGGATTCTCTCACCAAGTCAGCGCTCAGAGCAAGTCAAAGATTGCAGGATGCAAGAGCGGTGAAACGCTCAAAAAAAATCGCGAAGGTTGCTCAAAAAATACTCGTGCACAGGAGAGGAGACGGAAGGGGAGGGGGGAGAGGGCAAGGAAAGAGAAGGCAGTGACAGGGCCCAACAGAAATTACCCGCGACAGTCTCGACCCCCACGGAGAGGACGGGAAGCAAGCGGAAGGCGCGGCGAGAGAGTTTCTGGCCAGTCTTCAAAGTGATTTGCCCTGGAACGCACGAGGGCCTGCAGACGGGATTGCAACTCGGAGACGCTGCGCGCTGCCGCGACGAAGTCCGGCAGCAAATTATAAATGCGCACAGCGCCTATTGCCGAGTGCAACAAAAAGTCCGGAGCGCAGATCGGGGGCTCGACAAGGTGGCGCCCGTGGCGCCTCGGAGCTCTAGCCGGCGCAGGACGCGCGTCGATAACAAAAAACTTGCGATAACAGCTGGGGCCAACACCCAAAACAGCACGGTGAATTACCCCAAGAATACGAATGTCCCGGCGTGTCGAGAGAGGGGCAAGGTTAAAGCGGAACAAAGCGCCCGTGCTCGAATTATTCCAACTACGTAAAAATCTAATTACAACCGCGTCCAAAAGAGAGAGGACAGAAGAAGAGGCGCGGTAGACAGCAGCCGTGCGATATTCAAGGCACGACAAGATGTGAGCTTTGAAGAGACCAATGAGCTCAGCATCTGCGCGGAACCTCCGAGGGCGGATTAGCCTGAACACTTTCCGCGAACAAGCGGAAACGCAGTCGTCCACGGCGCTGTGCATTGAAAGTTCTGGGTCGAAAAGATGACCCAAGATCTTGACATGATCGCCGACAGGGCGCGTGCGAGAAAGCACGTGCAGGCTTTCCTTGCGCGCATCAAACTGCACGCGGTTTGCACGACCCCAAGCGTGGAGCGAAGCTTGACATTGACGAAGAATTGCTCGACAACGCTCGTCGGCTACATCTGCAGCCAGAGAACGCCATGCACTTAAATCATCAGCATAAAAAACTTATTCGAAAGCCTCGGCCCGGGTTGCCATGCAGGAGTCTGCGAAAAAAGTGCTCCACAAAGGCGGTCCGAAAATTGCCCCCTGGTACACCATGTCTCCCATAGTGATCGGACGGGACAGTTGACCACCGACGACGACGCGCGCCGTTCTCTGCCGGAGCCAACTTGCAAGAAGAGAGACAAGGCGCGGCGCCACTCCAGCACAGGCGAGCTTCGCGCAAAGAATGTCAGCGGGGACGCGGTCGAAAGCTCCAGACACATCAGAACAATAGAGGATAACGCGGAGGCCGAGAGAAGGAGTGAAGCCAAGACAAAAGAAAATAAAGAACTGCATCGCGAGCCCCGCGCCCCTGTCTGCACGCAAACTGCGCCGGCCCATAGGCGCCGAGACGTTCCAGACGTGGAACAAACAGATCACGAATAAGTCTCTCTGCCGCCTTCGAGAGCTGCGAAGTGTAGTGGGGCCCATGATAATCCGGGTCGGAAAGCGCCCGGCGCTTGCGGAGCGGGAAAATCCAGTGCTCACACCAACGAGACGGCCAATGCGCCTGACCAACTATTTGTCGCACTAAAAGAAAGAAAGGCAAAGCTAACTCGCGGCCGCAGGCTTTTAAAACACGAGAGGGGAGGAGGTCAGGACGAGTGGAACTGTCGCTTCGTAAGTCAGACAGAAAAGCACGGGCACAGCGCAGCCGGACACGCAAGAATCAAGCGTCGTCTTCCTCAATTAACCGTGAAGAAAATTGTGGATTCATTGACCTCTGCCAGCGGCAAGCTCCACTTGCTTGAAAAACTCGCGGCACGGAGCTCCGCCTTCTCGGCACTGCTGATAGCCCAAACTCCGCTGGGGCGTTTCAAAAGAGATCCGCTAGGACAAGGGGAACGACTGAACAAAGAATCGGAAACTTTCCACCGCTGCTTGCTTCCGCGGCGCAATCGTCTGCGCTTCGCCCGGGCGCGCGCAACGTAATCCTGGCGGGCAGCAAGCAGACCATCGCTACAACGACGGCAAGCAGCTGGATAAAACTCAGTTCCAGCACTGTCAACTTTCTCTCGAACTAAACGCGCACATTCCTCTGTCAGCCAAGGATGGGAAGGGCGGAACGAAACAAATGAGCGGGGGATAAACTGACGCATTAAAGTTAAAATAACAATAGTGAAACGTCGCGTTGCATCGTCTACAGACAGCTGAGAAATCCATCCCCAATCATGCTGCGCAATGGAACGCTTCAAGGAAGACCAGCTGGCGCTGCCGCTGTGACAAACTTCTCGGGGGAAGGATTCCAAAGGGAGGGGCGGGGAGGAAAAACGAATCGACAAGCCACGATGGTCAGCAATTTCAGATACTACTTCGACAGTCAAAAGGTTTGGCAAATCAGTAAAAACTATATCAACGAGATAGGCACCACGAGTTGAAGACCGCACTCGCTGGGATAACCCGTGCTCGCTTGACCAATTATTCAAAAAGGTTTCCTCCGGGGGTACAGAATGGCTGAAACGCAGCCAGTGAGGGTGATGCACCTTAAAATCTCCAAGCAAAATGCAACCAACGCACTGATCATACAAATTATTGAATTAGGAAGCTAAAGCAGATAAGGAACCAACTTCCCCGTAACAAGGGTGGCGATAAATGCAGCCAATGACCACTGGGCCAGAAGCGCAATGCACTAAAATCCAACAAAGCTCAGCCGAAGGAGAATTAGGCAAAAGAGAACACACAGAAATGATGGAGCCAAGCGCAAAAATGGCAACACCTCCTGCTTGCTGACTGCTGTCGCACCGCGCGAGAATTCTGTATCCGGTTAGCGACGGAGTGCACATGGAAGCGTCGAACCAAGTTTCAACAATGCAAACTAAATGAGGAGGAGAAGCAAAAAGGGTCAGACGAGCAGCGAGTTCGCCAGAATGAGCATTGAAAGATCTTAAACTGATGTAAAAATGAGTGAGATCAGAAACATCAACGGACGGCGAAAACTGGGAGTTGCCACAGCCACCGTCCGGAGCAGAAGAATACCGATAGGGATCAAAAAATCATGCAAAGTTGGCTGGGAGAAAGAAGGGCGGAACGGAGGCAGAGGACACAACTGAGACTCAGAGGTAAGGCGGTTCAAAACTTCCGGCCTAAGGCGGCCTGAAACTTCCGGCCTAAGGCGGTTCGAAAATTCCAGCCTAAGGCGGTTCGAACTTTCGGGAGTAAGAGAATTCGAAGAGACCGTCTCATCTGCACTCGGTCTCAAACGATGCTCAGTGAAACGTGGAACAAATGAAGAACTAGAACGAGGACCGCGCCTCCGGAATCGACGCGAAGGGGGCCGCACACAACTCGCAGCGCGAGGGGCAGCAGAACACGCGGGAGTAAGGGGCGAGGAAAGAGACTGCGAACAAAACTGCGCGCGACCCCATGCTTCCTACGACAACCGGAGGTGCGCAAACTCGCTGGCGAAACCACCGCGTAAGTCACCGTCATTCTGGATGAAGACAGAATTTCCGTCAATGGTGACTTTCCGAATCTTCCAATCAGCATGGGCACTGCGACCACGTAGAATACTATCTGCCTTGATCATGTCCGTTGCTGCTCGAAAAGCCCAGTCGCAAGAAGCATTTACTTCGTCTTTGCTGGCTTCAGAATAATAGCACCACCAGTCGTAGTCGGAAACGTTTTGCCTTTACGTCCAGCACTTCTCAAAGAGAAAGCCGCAGCATAATATGAAGAGAATTCGGCAAATGAAGCTTTAGATGCGACTTGTGCGCCCCGTGGTCCGGTGTAGAAATGTCCGACATGAAAAGGAATCTGGTTGTCAATGGACTTGATCAATCACTAATGCATGCCACTCTCTGGTTCAAACCGCTCGCGGTGAACC